TAATTCTTGATATTTTCGTGACCTTCACCTCTTTCATTTTGGCTGAATAATTTTGCACATGACTGTGTAGTTGTCTCCATTTATGTCTGAATTACCCAAAAACATTCCACCACATTCTTCTTTGTACAATATATTAAAATGTTTCTGTTTTGGTTATAATTCACTGTCTTAACTTCTCGTTAACCTCACACCCTGTCTCCATTGTCAACAGGTTATTTTACTCTCTGATGAAATGGAAAGGCCTTCGACAGCTAGTGTTTACTGTTAAGTAATTTGGTGACTATTTTAACACTATGGCGTGCAATACTCCGAATCTTTGTGACCTTCATTCAACAGCTGTATGACAGTGCCACGTGTCAGGTGATCCACAACGAAAAACTCAGGAAGGCGTTTGAAGTTAATACAGGACTAAGCTGCCTGCCTATTATCCCCCACGATGATATTCGTAATTGCGGTGGACTGGGTTGTGCGTCAGACTGTGGAGAGCAGGAAAACACGAATACGTTGCACAGATAAGTAGTACTGAGCTGGATAGTTAATTTGCGAAGCTTTCATCACCCCACTAGGTGACATCTTCAGCGCATACTTCAATTTGAATTGAAGTGAGCTTTCAGATTTCTCCACGAGTTTAGTAATCATCTCTCCGGGCCTGGGCGTGATTGGTTGTTTTAATGTGTTTCACTCTAATTCTCTAGCATTCTTGTTTTTCCTCTTCTAATATTGAACGTTGTCCCAGTCAAATTGATGTCTTTCGTTGTTGAGTCTTTTGGTGATATAGAATTGAGTGAATGATTTTGTTGGTTTGTGTGCGACGTCAATTCCTAAAGGTTTGACGAGTCTTGCAGTGATTTCTGAAATATCCTTTATATATGGCAGGCGACTTTCTTTTTGCTTTCCTTGGGGGCTTTTCTTTTGATAGGTTGGCTTGGAGGTATATGCCTTTTGATGAAATTCCGTGGATATCCATTCTTTTGGAAGACGTCCATGAGATATCTTTCTTCAATATTTCTTAAGGTGGGAGTGCTGCGATGAGTCCTGACTGGCCCTCTGGAATAATGTATGCATCTCTTTTTGTGTGTTATTGGATTGTTGCTGTTGTAATTCAGTATTTGATCTGTGTAAGAGCACTCCAGTGAATCATCAATCAATAGACACATCAAGATTGACAAAATTTATCAGCCGATAAGAAAGAAACCTCACACACAAAGGGTCAAAGTTCAAGTCAAAGAAGCAATCAGTTCCAATACAAGTAGCCTGAAGGTGTGAAAACACACTAAAACAACCAATCACGCCAAGTCACCGGTATCGGGGAATCTAAAAGCTCACTTCAATTCAAATTGAAGTATGCGCTGACCTAATGGGGTGAGAGTAAATTAACTATCAGCTAGATAACACAACCACATCAAAATCATCACTGAGCTACAAATCTCCCCATCATATAGATAAGTAGACTGTAGAGAATCAGGATTTCGCGGATTGATTTATTTCTAATATCACACAAACTGGAAGACTTACAGGCAAAAATCGACAATTCCGCTGAAGAAGCAGGCAGAGAAGACAAGGATTCCACATGAACATAAATGAGATGGAGGTGATGAAGATAACCGAATAACAGCAACAAAAATCAGTAACAATTACCATCAACTGTAGAAATTTAAAAGAGGTTAATTCCCACAAACTGGAAGATATGCAAGCGAAAAGCAACAAGTTGGCAGAAGAAGCATCAAAGATAGGACTTCAGGTGAACATAGAGAAAACAGAGGTGATGAAGATTCCCAGGCAACACCAACAACAGCAACAACAACAACAGACAACAATCAGCATAAATGGGAGGAACCTGAAAGAAACAACCTCTTTTACCTACCCTACCTGGGAAGCATCGTTTCAACTACAGGCAGACGGAACTGACGAGGATATCAAAGCAAGAATCGGAAAAGCAAGACAAGCTTTCACTACTCTCAAGTCTGTGTGGAGGTCAACAACTCTCAGCATCAAAAATAAGATCCGGATTTTCAACTCCAATGTGAAGAGTCAGTGCTACTATACGGATCAGAGACTTGCACTGCGCGTCATAAAGAGCATCTCAAACAAACTACAGACCTTCATTAACAGTTGTCTTCGCTCAATACTCAAGATCAGATGGCCGGCCAGAAAAGATCAGCAACAGAGATCTCTGGCAATGAGCGAACCAACCAGGAACCGATTGTGAAACAAATAGGCAGGAAGAAATGGAGATGGATTGGCCATACTCTGAGGAAACCATCAAGTGACATCACTAGACAAGCCATTGCTCGAGTGGAACCTGAAAAGGAAGCGGCGAGTTGGTCGTCAGTGACAGGGTGACTTGGAGGAGGTCATGTGAAGAGGAGATGAAAACGTGTGGGCAGACATGGAGCCAGGTGAAGACTCTAGCAGAGAACCGAACGCAATGGAGACGCACGGCTGAAGCCCTATGTTCCTCTAGGAATTAAAGGATACAATAATAATATTATAATAATTCCTTCATTTGTCCAGGAAGGATCGAATGAGATTTCAAAATCAGGATCAGAAAGGCAAGACAAAGCTAATGGTAACATTAGGTTGTTCAAGCCTTAGTGAATGGGATAAGATCCAAAAATATGCTCCACTCACGTGATTTCAAGGTTGATCTTCAGGACATAAATTAGGAACTGCTACGAATCCTAGAGTCCTGTGTTTGAATCCTCCAGTTACCATTAAGATGTAGAATGAATGTACGATATGGTTACACAAAAGATTCAGCACACAAAGGTAGCCGTCACAATAAGTTTCCATTTTTTCTTTTACTAAAAAGTATTATTACCGCATGAAGTGTGATTAACTTTGCATATATTGCTGTCAGATTATTACTATTATTGTTCCCTTGGGTTCCTAGTGGAACATAGGGCTTCAACTGCACGTCTCCACTTGCTTCTCTCTTCTGCTGTACTTTTCACCTGCATCCATGTTAATCCATACTGTTTCAATTCCTCTTCACACGATCTCCTCCATATCATA